AAGAAGAAAGCTGTACTTTTTAGCAACTACAAATCACGGCAGAGAGGAGTGAGTAGATAATACCAAATACATTCCTCAACCCTTCAGTGCAGCATAGCATATAAGCTGAGCTCCTACTATAGGGCTCATCGGCAATAAAGAGCTAACTGTAACATGATTCAGCAAGGAACATAAGGCCATGCTTAACTTCAAGTATCTGGTTAGGACCTCGTGGCTTCTGTAAGGCTCAGGCAGGAGCTCTCATAGTTCTGTAGATGCCCAGCCGAACTCGGGCCAAGCAAATGCAAATGTCAAAAACAGATCTAAGAAATGCATCTCAGGGATGACCTTAATTGCATCCTTACAGCCTCTCTTGTTTCCCAGGAAAACAGACACAGCACCAGGAGCAAAAATTTACCACTTAAAATATCACCCAGACCAATTCCTGCCATCTCCAGCACAGTCTAGCTAGGCTAAGCAGCACTTTCATGCCAGTGATCTAGAGTGGACCTTGTATTTCCTTTCCTCTAGCCATAACTGCTGTAGACCACTTTCCTGCAGCAAAGAAAATAAAAGAGTTCACATTGGTCTGGGATCAAAATATGCACCAAAAGCAAGATGCTGCCACCTCCTGATTCAGTAGGGGACCAACCTAGAAAACCCACAACACTGTACCGAGTTGCAGCTGGACTGAGTGCATCTAAACACTACTCACTGCTGCCAAAAGGGGACAGTCACCTTTTCTCTGCGTTCATCCCGCCTCTTGAAAAGCCATTTCAACTCACGTTCTGGAAAGTTATCCACGAAAGAAAAATTAAACTGCTTTCTTTTAGATTAGCAATTTAAATTAGAACAGTTACAACTATGAGAACTGGGGGCAGCACAACTGAAAGCAAGGGACAAGAAAGAAGAGGGTCACCACATCCTGCAGCAGAAATACACTGACAGCCTCAGGTATACCATCTAACCCTACTTTAGGGGATTTGAAAAGGCAAGTGATGGAAAAATAGTCTACTCTTTCAAGTGGAAGCACTCACACAAGGGAAAATTGCAGCGATGATTATGCAATGCAGATTCTTCAGGTCTCTCCACAAAACCAGAATCAATGGGACCACCCAACAAACTCAGCTTTGTCCTAACTTGCTTGTCAGTGAAGTGACAATTCAACTCTCCAGGGTCATTCTGTCTCACAACAAGCACTTGCAAAAGCATTTCCCAGGTTTTATTTTTTTATTCAGAAAAATCTCACCCTCCCTGAAACCCAATACAAACAAATAGATATCACCCTTACCAGTATCAGCATGAGAATCACATTACCTAACGGGAGAAGGGAGAGGAGGAAGAAGCCTGAGGGAAAGAAAACAGCCAATGAACACAAAGAGGAACAATGATGGGAAAAAGCAGCCAAACCCATATCTTTTGGGAGACAGGGGAAAATCTTGTTGGCTTCCAAGAACTTAAGTTTCCCTTTTCCCCCCCCCCCTCCATCTCATTAACTTACTAATTAAAAATATATTTTTGAGTAATACCTACAGGGAGTTTCCTGTTTACACAGCAGTAACTCTGCGAGCCATTACACTCAGTGACCTGAAGTACCTGGCCTTGACACACACTCAGTCCAGAATACAGTAATTATCTTGTAAACAGGAAGCATGCAACTGCAAATGCACCAAGGTGCAGGAACGAAACGCACACAGAAGTTATATTTCTGCACTAGCACCTCCTGCAGCTTAAAGTGCACATCAAAAATTAAATCAAATATAAATAATACTTTATGGCTATCTATGCCAGCAAGTGTTTGCCGGTACTCTCTGGCAGCCTTCTTTAAAAATCACTACTTGTTTGGTTTGTTTTTTTTTTTTTCATTGTAAACATCTTCCATGGGCTGACATCACCTGAAAGTGTTTTGGCTTCACAGGGTAGCTTTAGAAACACTTTTAGGCATAAGCAGATTAGAGGAAATTTTTGCTATAACCTACACCTTGTTGTTGCAGGGTTGTAAGCAGATGACGAGGGTTAGTGTGCATACGTTTTGAAAGGTATCAGACTTCATGGGAATCATACTCACAGTAACACCAGCTGAATGTATGGGTGTATCAGTAGAGACATATACCAGTGTGCAGCTACATGAACGGCTCTCCGCTGACTTGCATCGTAAAAGCCTGCCTTTTGAGAATAGCAGGAGCAGTAACAAGTCTCATCCGCCGATCCGGAAGACAAATTCTGAATCAGTGGATTTTGCATTTTAATCTAACTTAGATAAGCTAACCTACTTTACAAAAGCGATATCCCCACCTCATTTTGGTTCTCCACAGTTCCAAGTTACACAGGCTGCAACAGGCCTACGAAGAAATGATTTTCAGAAATATACCTCTTGAGCAGTCAGCAACCATCCCCAGTCAGTCTCTTGATAGACAGCAGAAGGCCTGGACATAAAAGGAGGCCTAAATCTTGTCTCTAACATAGGACACCATTATTCTCAGTCATCCTAGTCATTCCTCAACAGTGGTCCATCTCTAATACACAGTCTTCAGAGAATGCCCATCAGCACTTGCACAAAAACCATGGACAAATGTGCTGACACTAAGATGTTATAAAGACCACTTCAAAGGGAGAACTTCCAAGCAGCTATTGTAACCTGGTTCTGAAAGGCATTCTGCAGACACCAAGGGAATTCTTCAACATTCTTTTTCAAACAGGTTTGGGCAAAGCAATTATCTGTCCCTTAAAATAAAAGTATATCTATCAAATCTCTGGCATAGCAACAACTAAAAGGAAACCCACTACCAAGCTTAGCACCTTCCCCCCCTTGCCCCCCACCTTCTTTCCATTAGGATTTGCTATATTGTAATCTATGTGGGAAGCCACAGCTACCAGCTGCTTTGCTGCACTTAAGGAGACTCTCTTACCCTGTAATTCTTGAACAAGAGCCCATCAGTAACAGAACGGAAGAATCGTTAAGGTTGGAGGGGACCTCTGGAGATGGTTTAGCCTAGCTAGAGCCACTATACCCTTGAGAAAAGCATCAGCAGCTATCCTCACTTGCAGGCATCCCCCCAGCAACATACTACAGTAAACGTGCTAGACTCATGCTACCAATATTTGAACTTTGTGCCACATGAAAGGCATGAAACCCACCAAAAGGGCCACGCTTGGCTTTAAAGCACAGCCTTCTCCAAAGCTGTCTTGGTGCACCTGCAGATTCAAAGAGAAGTACAGAAACTGACATAAACTGCAGCTCCGTTTAAGTGCCCTTCCATTTAACTCACGTTAACGACACCATCTAGTGGATTACACGCAGACAATTTTTTTTTGATCAGTAACAAAACACCCAGCAAAGTAATACCACAGAGTAATTTCTAGTAAAATTAGAGAGTGCAAGTATGGCTTATAAAAAACGCATGCTAAATAAAATTGTTATGTGCATGCCAGTCACTGAAAGGTCACTCCACAAGCAGCTTAGCCAACTGATGTGATAGGAACACAGACACGCAAGAATTGCTTCTCTTTGAGTACAGAATCAAGAAGTTAAATGCCAGTAAAACTACTAGTGTGAAGTCCTGCATATTTACCAAAATAAAACTCCCAAGACTCATGGGATGAGCAAATGTTGAATCAGTTGTAGCACTACAGCAATAATAATAACCTTTAATCAGATCAAGAAGTCAATACAAAGCTGAAGAACAGGTATCTTTCTGTAAGCTTCACAATCACCTCGTCATTTTCGCCTTTTCACATAATTCCAACTTCTACCATCTCTCTGCAGAAACGTTTCAGTTCTTCAGGGGGCACTTTTATCCTCTTTTCAGGCTTTGCTTTCACAGTTTTGAAGTGAGATGGACAATACCAACCAGTGCTATAGAGGGCCTTTTGCCCTCCAGCCCTCATCACGGGAAGGGTGCTTCCTCAAGCTAAACTACAGCTACTGTGCTGACCAGACATTTTAACTAACCTGTCCACTCTGCAAGCACAGGCAAACGCACCAAATATCATGACTGAAGCATCCTGGAATTGCATTGCTCTGGAGGGAGGAATTTGGGGTATTGAGTTGACTGGCTGCACCCATTAGGCTACTCTAGCTAATATCTGCAGCCTTAAAACAAGAACTATCATTTGGTCTACAACATTAATCACCTTGCTATGCATCCACTCCACTTAAAAAGAAAAAAAAAATTTAAAAGCAGGTAGAGCTTTTGTAACAGTAGCATGTCAGGTAATAGGATTTAGAATGCAAAACAAGCTCTTACTTGATAATTGCCAAGTTACACACAACCCTAATAAACTACTGAAGGCTACTCAAGTAGCCAGGCCTCTTCACAAGCTGCCTGAAAGGGGAACTAAATTGTGGTGGTAAGTTTTCACCTAGGTTATGGTAGGAAAGAAGCATGCCCTAATCCCAAGCTTCTGTACAAAAAAAAAAAAAAAAAAAAAAAAATTTGGATTGATAAAGCACACTATTTTAACATTTTAAGAGATGCATTGCAAAACAAGGTGAACATCACCAGGAGCAAGAAAAAACAACTTTCAGAAAAAAAAAAAAAATAACAGCCAAAGGAAACCCGGGGAACAGCAATACCTAACACTGGGGAAGGCCATAGCTACTTTGCCCCACTCAAGACCCACGGCAAGAGCTCCCACACCTCATGCAGTTATCACAACAGCACAGGAACAGGCAGAGATGGGGGCTTCACAACAGCTTCCCTCACTTTGAGGGCAGAAACCTCCTTCCTTCCCTACAGTTCTCCTCCCAGCAGCGGACACAGCTCAGGGCCGCGCTCTGAGACGGGCCCACCGCACACCAACCACCTACACCGCCAACGGACAAAAATGGCGGGCTCCCCCCCGCGCCCGGCGGCACGCATGCGCACGAGGGGCGGTGCGCCGGACGATTTTACACACGCGCCCTCGCCCCGCCCCCCGCCAGCGTGCATGCGCCGTCCTTCTCTCCCCGCCCCTCCGCGCGCGGCGCCCTGTGACGCGCGGAGCGTAAACAAAGTGGTGCATTCTGGGAAGAGGGAATCGTTACGTGCAGGAAGAGGGAGCCTCCATCTTAGGCGCTCGACGCGTCGCGGCGGCGGCGGGATGGCGGCTGATAGCCGGGAGGAGAAAGGTACCCGGTGGTAGGGGTCGGGGGTAACGGTTAGGCCCCGGGGAGGGCGGATGTCTCGAGCGAGGGGGGACCCCCCCGCCCCTGCTGGAGGACGATTTTTGTAGTTTTTAGACGTGGCGTGTAGGGGAATGCTTCCTGTTGTGTCCTGGAGTGCTGGAGGTGATGGGACCGCCGTGCCGTAATGTGGTGCCCCGGCGGCGGTGGTCTCAGGGCAAGGTGACTTGAGCAGCGGGAATAGGAATAAGTTCGTGGGCCATAAGTTTAACGTTATTGGCAGCGAGTTACTGCTGGTTATCTTCTCGCAGAAAGTATCTGCTTTTCTTTATTTCTGCTTGGATCCCTAGCCATGCTTTTTTGCAGCATTTTCTGTCGAGGGACATAGTTACTTTAGCAAGCAGAAGCTGACGTTGGAATATTATTTTGGTAATTTTTGCTCTGCTTTTTGCAGTCAGTTATGCATTCTGGGCACTGTGAGTAAAAAAGTTTGAACTAGAGAAATTGAAGGTTTCCAGGATAATGTATATTCACAACTCTTATAACTGCCCATCACTGTGTGTGGAAGCTGAAGTGATCTGCATGTTGTCTGTGAGGTTATACGAGTCACTTCTCACAAAATAGTTCATTTAAGAAATAAAAACAAAGTTTAGATGTAGAAGATTGCTGTTTAGTGGTTAGTGCAGGTAATAGTGTTATAAAAAAGGTAAAGGCTCACTGTAGTGTTGTGGTTTGGTTTACATTGTTTTGGATTTCTATGGAATACATTTCATGTAAAGTTTTTTTGCAGGATGGATGTCCATGAAATGCCTTTTGTCAGAGAGGTGAAAGTTTGCTGTCTAATATTTATTGTGAAATTAGATAACATGGAAAATTCCCACTAGATTTTGTTAGAACTAATAAGTAAAGTTATTTCTAGTGCTTGATTCTTAATGCTATTATTATAAGACTGCTGGGATAGGCTATGATCAGGTTGTGTTGAAACAGATGTGAGCTGCCACAGTGGATGAGCAGTGAAATTGAAATGTTTACTGTTGTCATCTATGCGTGCTACTCATCATTTCTACAGATGGGCCTGAATTTTTTTATTCTTTGGTCTTTTTGTTCTTTTTTTTTTTTAATTACTGACAGTGGTCAAGTTATGAGTAGCAGACGCTACATGGGGTTTTTTTTGTTTCGTATTTTAATTTGCTTTTAATTTTCTGTCCTATGAAAGGGATGATTTGGATTGAATAGCAGATGTTAATGCACATTTGTTTGTAACTGAACTTATTTCTGCTGTAAATGCAACATTATTTCTATGGTGCTTTTGGAAGAGAAATGCTGTTTCGCTGCCTTAAAAAAGTGGAAATAAATCTCGCATACCTTTTTGGTTTGAAATCGCCTGGTCTTATCTCCTCTGTTTGCCAAATCAGATTTTTGCTTGGACCCTTCCTTGAATAAATCTAATGTTCATGGGCAGCAGAGGAAAAATGGCCTCCCCAGGTTACTTTCCTGCTGTTTCAGGTGAGTTAAATTTGTTCACGGAAGGATCCAACATACCCCAGAGTCAACAAAAGATGAGTTACAGGAGAGCCCAGTTGGGAGTGTCTGTAATGAAAAGGACCCATTTGGATCTTCCCCCTTCAGCAGTGATGAACTGTAAGAAATCTGTCCTCTACCGTTTTTCTTTTTTCTGTGCTTTACCTGATGCTTATCTTGATCTGTCTGAGATAATTTAGCTCATTAGGTTGAACACTAACAGTGACAGTTCAGTGAGTGTAATCACCTTGTGGAAGTCAGTTGAGCAGTATACCCGATGCAAGTGAGAGATGGGAACTGTGTGTTCAGATTACCCTTTTTGCATCACCAGGCTGCTAGATAAATCTGGAAATTTATTTTTAAATAAATCAGATAGATGTATCTACAGAAGGGGGCGGCAGAAGGGGGTGGGGGGAACTCATCCTACTCCTGTCTTTTGCGTACTTTTTGCAGGTTCAAACTATAAATCAGGCCCACCTAACCTGGAAGGGATTTATCAGAGAGTATGTGTCAGACTTGCTTATTCCATTAAATTGTCCTTATCTTCTCATTTGTTTCTGAACCAGCTGATACATGAGTCTTTTAGCACCTCTGAATGCTACTGCAGTAGCTAGGTTGAATGTAGTTTACGCAAGTATGCTATTGCCTCACCAAAAGGGAAATAAAGCTAAGGTTCAATATGTGTGATCTGAAGTGGGTGATATATTTAATATTCTAATCCTAGCACACCTCTTTTTCATTAGTCTCCCATAAAAAAATATGGTGCTCTGAACTTGCTTAGTCTTCTGTGGGGAAGCAGAATGCAAGCCAGGAAATTGCAGCCCATGTTTAGTAGTTGCACACCCATGAATCTGACTCTCTGCATATCTCATTAATAACAGCAAGAATATTTGCTGTGGATATATAGGTATCTACAAACATAAAGGACTATTCCCAAGAGAACTATGATGTGGCTTCGTGTTATATTTAAATGCCCTCTAACTGTAAACTGCCAGGAAAAGGCTTGATCTACCTTTCTCTGCACCGCTTCCTTTGCATCAGCTATAGCAGTTGAGCAGTTCAGGGACCACTTCTGCATTCCCTTACCACAGAAAATGTGGAGAAACACCAGCAGGAAAACTAGCACGCATGCTGACTTCAGATTCAGTAGTATATAGTAGAGACACAAGTCTAATACTAACTTTTTTTCTGATTGTGTCTTTTCTTTAATATCAAGCTGTAAAACTTCTTTTGTGATGCAGCTCACGATTTTGAGATAGACAAGTTGCCAAACTCTGGAGGACTTTGTTTGCTGCCTTACCCTGATTTCGTCCAGTACAGGAGTCCTTACCTGCTGCTTTATAACGTTGCACGATGTGTATTCTACAGATACTGTCAACTAGCTGAATCCTTGCAGTTTGCTCTGCTTTCCTTTTCCTGAACACAGAAAATAAAATCAATCATAGCAATATAAAGTGGAAAGAGCTAGGAATTCCAGAGTTTAGGAGAAGAAATATGAGATTCCAAAATTAATAACCTTTTCTATTATTTTTCTCTTTGCATGCTGAGGCTTAGTTCACTCTTATTTTTAAAGTGTTTGGAATATAGATCTGCTATCTTAAAGCTGGTGAGTCCTCCTACCAGAATCACCACATATCCCCTTTGGTTTCAGGCAAAGTGAAAGAGTCGGAGACAGTGACAAATTTTAAAAGTTGTGTGACCAAGTGTGGTCATTTACTGCTTCTAGCATGAATTTTCTTAAACTTTTGCCCTTCTGATCAACTTCTAGCGTTTGTTTTTTGGTTTGTTGGGTTTTTTTGGTTTGTTGTTTTTTTTTTTCCCAGAGCAGCTCAGAATTTATTATGCAGCAAATAAGTACTAGTTTCCCCTTCGTCAGTGGGGTGACCTAGCTTGTGTTCTTGTTAACTTGCCCTGTTGTGTTTTTGGTACTTGTAGGTGAACCACAATATTCAACCTCCTAACACAGCAACAACAAAAATAGTGGGGCAGGAGGGGAGATAATTTAAGGTGCAAGTTCTTCAGGATTTTGAGGAGAGAGGTCCCTCCTCTTTGCTTATGGCACTCGGACTATCTCCCAGTCTCCTTTTTCTCAAATCTTGTACAGGCTTTTTTTGTTAAGCTTTCATTTGTACGTCAGCTTTCCTGCAAAGCTTGTTTAACATGAGGAGCCAACTTGTATCTTATTCAGGAGGCCTCAATGCATCTTGTGACATATTTTAATTCTTTTATTGGCTTTGCCTGGTCCTTTAACTGAAATTGTGGAAATAAATCAAGATGACGTTAATTTCTGCCTTGTGGCAGATAGGTAACCTTAAAGGAAATGTTTGGGTTTGCAAATACTAGTTCTACTGTAGTTTACATATCCAGACTTTTTATAGTTGTTTTTAACTTTCTTTTTGTTTTCAGATGGTGAACTGAACGTTCTGGATGACATTTTGACTGATGCTCCTGACCAAGATGATGAGTTGTATAACCCCGACAGCGAACAAGATAAAAGTGAAAAAAAGGGTAGGTGACTTTGGTAGTGGATGTCCTGTAGGAACGTAAATGGTAAAAACTGTCTGTCTTATTAGAGTTAAAGTCTTTGAAGTAGCGACTCCTATAACCTGATTCGAAGAGTGAAAGAGTTCCAAAAGTCTTTGTTTCATGGACATCTGCTTTTTCACCTGACCTTCCAAGGAAACAATTACCTAGGTTTCCTTTTGTCTTAAAAGCAATTGCTGAGTCTGAGTTGTTGTGAATTCATTTGCTGTTAGAAAATGACTGTCCTTTTTGGTTCGATGAATTGAAATGGAAATGGAGCGAGGGGGTCCCAAAGTCTGGTTCCAGTTCAGTTCCTGATTTGGCTTTAGGCCAATCCCGTAAGCATTCAGTTTAGCATTCCCATATACAACGTTTATATAATTTTAGAAAACACCTACCAAAGCCTAAAAGATTGCTCTTTTAAAGTAAAATACATGGTTTAGAACATGAGCTGTTCCTAACAAGCAGTTTTGAGTATTGTTGCAAAGCCTACATCTGGAAGATGCTACCTATGACTGCAACAGGGGAATTAACCAAAGTAGAGAAAGCAGGCGCTTCTGCACAGTTTTTGGTTTGATATACAAAATAACATTGAACTTGGTATCTCTTTCTATTTAAGGATCAAAAAGAAAAACTGACAGGATGGAAAATGCTGAAAGCAAGAGACAAAAACCTTCTGTACATTCATCAAGGCAGATGATGCCAAAGCCTCCTAGTTCGTCAGTTAGCAATAACAAGAGAATAGTGAGTACGAAAGGAAAACCAGTATCAGAGTACAAGAATGAGGAGTATCAGAGGTCTGATAGAAACAAGCGCCCAGACGGTGATCGAAAGACGCGCATGTCAAGCAGTTCCAGGGAACCTTATAAAGGACAACCAGAAAAAACTTGCATGCGGAAGAGGGATATTGACAGAAGGGCGAAGTCTTCTACACCAGATGGTTCAGAGGTATTAAATATTCTTGCTGCCTTGTAAATAAAGCAATTATATGAGACCTTTATAAGGCACGTCCTCTTAGGACTGTGTGTGCATCCTGACAGTGTTATATGACTGCTGATTCACTTTTTCTTTAAACATCAGAGAATCAGGCATGATGTGGATAGAAGGCCAAGCAGATCCAGCCATTCTTCTAAAGAAGAGGTGAACTCTGAGGAATATTGTTCCGATCACGAGACTGGCAGTAGTGGTTCCTCTGAACAAGGCAATACAGAGAATGAGGAGGAAGGAATGGAAGAAGAGGAAGATGATGAAGGGGAGGAGGATGAAGAGGTGGAAGAAGATGGGGAGGAGGATGAAGAAGAGTATGAACAGGATGAGAGAGATCAGAAGGAAGGAAATGACTATGACACACGAAGTGAAGCCAGCGATTCCGATTCTGAATCCGCCTCTTTCACAGATGGGTCAGTCAGATCTGGGACTGGTTCAGATGCATCAGGTAGGTAACATCTAGCTGCTAATCTGAAATACCTTGGCATTGAAAGTTTGGCTGGTTTTGAAAGTAACCACTTCCTGAACATGTCAAAAGTAAGCTTTAGTAGCACAGGTCAGCAAGATGATAATTATGAAATACCACAGGCAAGGAGAAAATGTACTGGAAAGTGGTATTTCTGTACACGAAAGCTTGTGGGTATCAGGATTACCATGCTGAGGATTCTTGATTGCTTTGGCCTTGCTGTTCAATGCTTTGAAACATCAGAATTAGTGTTTTCTTAGGTATATAATGGCTTAGTTCCTCATACAATTCATTTTAAGTTGGTGTTGAGCTGCTCTGTATTCATCTAGATGAGTGACCAGGTAGACTGGTGTAGTAAAAGCCCCATCTCCCCAGGGAAGGATAGTTGAATCTTAAATAGTGGCTGCCTTCAGCATAGGAAATCTAAGCCTAAGTTGAAATGATTAGCTATTAGGGCAAACTTAGAAAGAGAGAAATGTTTTAAGCAGAAACTAGAAACAAATGCTTCGCAGTTGTATAGTATAACTGGTCCTAACTTACAGATGTGAAGTGTTAATGACGTAAATACTTCTGGGTTTGGCTGGTTTTTTGGTTTTTGTTTTTTTTTTTAAGAAAGCAGCTTGCAGTCCTGTTAAGATTCCTCTTGTGTATCTTACCCTTGCCTGAAGTCTCCATAGGTGGTCATCCTGCTTAACATAATGCCTTCTTTGGCTCAGCTCTGCTGTTTGGAATTAGACAATAGGAAGGTGTAACCTAAAGACAAGTGAAGCTGTAATAACTACTCTAAAAAGCTCCATAGTATAACGTAACACTTTCAAGAGTGGAAATAATAGCCTGTGTGCCACAGTGTTTTGTTTTCATACCTCTTGCCATTTTGTTGAGCTCTGAGCAAATGAGCCCATATCACTATTGCAACATGGTTCGTGCTCTGTGTTGCAAATTTGGCTGAAGGCTGGAGAGAAGAGCTAAACCACCCTTACTAAAACACCTAGGAGATAAATTCTCTCCCTAAACTTTGCACAGAATTACTAGATTTGTGGTGTATGTCTTCCTTTTGTGAATGAAAAGCTTGAGTAATTAGCATTTGCTTGTTTTATGCGTGATTAGTTTTGGGGCAGCAACCACAATTTTCACGTGCAAGCCAAATGCTAATTCCACTATTACAGATGTTATTTTCCTGTCTTGGTTCTTTTTATCTCAATTTTGCCCCCCACTTGATGTTTCAAATATTGGTTGTATTTGTTATGGTTTTTTTTTAGATGAGAAAAAGAAGGAGAGGAAGAGAGCTAGAGGTATCTCTCCGATTGTTTTTGACAGAAGTGGAAGTTCTGCATCAGAATCGTATGCAGGTATTCTTTCCTTTTATTGCTTGTCATCCTGACTTGCATCAAATCTTAATGTGTAATCTAAAATAAATGTAACTGGCTGTAGAGGTTTATGGGGTATGTAGCTTTGTATAATTTGGTATTGACTTCTGGCATGTTGTGTGTGGATACCTTTGGGGGGAAGTAGCCTTTCTTGTTACTTTAATGCTATTCTGTTGCTTAAGTGGAATTTTCACTTTTTTTTTAAACTTGGAAGATGATGATTCAGTGACTAGTTTTCTGAGTAGGAAATTCTTCAAATACTACTTTAAAAAAACAAACCCAAACCAAACAACCCAAAAACAAAACCAAAAAAAAAACCCAAAACAAAACACTCGTGCACATTGAATAGTATTTTTTGTGTGTGTGGGTGCGCGCCAGAAAGCATAATTTGTCATGAATGAAAATTGTATGTGACAAGGCTGTAGAAATTGTATATTATCTCTATTAAGGCTCAATCTGAACAAATGTACTTTGGCTAAACACAGGTTCAGAAAAGAAGCATGAGAAATTATCATCTTCCGTTCGTGCTGTCCAAAAAGGTATCATTTAAATTTGAATTTTTAATGCATGCCCCATAGCAAGCCATTGTCTCCATTCATTAAAGTACCTGTAAGTAGTAATGTTCCGATATAAATCCGTTTGAGCGCATAATTGTTCTGAGCATAACAAGTGAATATTGAGCTACTTTTGCATGTGTTGAGAGCGATATGCAAAAAGTTCAGTCACATTGCTTCTTGCAGGGGCACCAAAGCAAAAAATAAAGTGCTTAGATCTGAAAAGAGGAACATTTCAGCATTCTCTGTTGGACAACTCATGCTGATACGAGTGTTACCCAGTATTTATCCAAAAATTATTAAGAAAATAAATAAGTCCTGTATATCGGAACATCACTGAATCATGCTGATTTTATTTTTTCTTTACCTGAATATCTAAGTTCTAGTTTTGATTTGGTTTCCCCTGGCATTTTGTGCTCTACAGCTTAGACTTCGAGTTTCAAGTTGGGTGGTTGACTGTGATAATACATAGGTAGGAATTGGGTGGGATACAGTGTATTTTGAAGGAAACAAATGACTATCTATTCTCAAAGCAACATTTTTGACAACTGTAAATATTTACAGGTCAGCTTATTTGACACTTTGTTTTTTCAGACCAAACAAGTAAACTTAAATACATTCTCCAAGATGCAAGATTCTTTCTCATCAAGAGTAATAACCATGAAAACGTATCACTTGCTAAAGCAAAGGTATGTTGAATTTTCTTCAAACTGATCACTTTGTCTATTTTCAAACACACCCACCTTACTATAGAAAAGCATATATATAGATGCATTCTTTTTTCCATCACTCAGATCTTGGTAGAGGCAAGGATGAAAGCTACTGCTCCTTGAATCTTCAAGGCTAGCTATTCTGCTTCCACTGTAACCTAGAAAAGTTTCTAGACCATCAGTCATTTATCTTGATAAGAGCAGGGTTAAAAAGGGGCCTCAGAGTCTGTTTGATAATGTCTTAAGCCAACCTCCATTGGGAATGCTGTGGTGGTATTTTCTCCCTTTCATCAGCACCTGTGTTCATATTGCTGTAGGAGGTTCAGAATGTTGTCTTGGCTTTCATCTAGTGCTGTAAAAGTAACTTTTTTCAGTTGATTTAGGGATCTGAAGCCTTATTGCAGAAAGGTATGCCTGGCAGTGCTGGTGTAGGGGGGAGTTCTTAGGAGGGATTCCAGTGCACTGGACTTCATCTGCTGAGGCATGGCACTAGGCCACTGGTGGTTTTGTATTTGCATGTGTTATTTGGAACAGCTTGTAGAGAAAATAGCTGATTTGCTGTTACACAATATACACAGAGTAGCTGATTCTATTAATGAAGGTTTTCTGAAATAGAATAGCATTAGAACAATTAAATGAATCTTAAAATTCCTGCACAGGTTTGCCCCCCCCCCAGCTTTGGGTCTGATCTGTGCAGTGTATACCATTCTGACTGGTGTTTGCTTTAGCTCTTTAGAGGAGTATATCCTTTCTGTGCTTCATCCACACTTGGGGCTGCAACAGTATCCTTGTTCCTAAAGTTCTTGGAGTGGATGCTTTGTCCCTCAGTGTGTAGGCATCAGTGCTTTGCCACTGCACTTTCATGAGACTGGCTTTTGCGGTGCCAGTGCAATAAGTTGTTCTTGTTCACAGCAGGGCTTCACAAGTAGCCTAAAGCAATATACATCTGACTGAAAGCGAGTAAAAAGACCAAATAGTTCTCTGGTGACTTTAATGAATTGTCAGAGTCAGGCAAGCACTAATCTGAGCACAGAGCAGGACGTGAGAACATATCTTCAACAAAAAAGGAAGGGGCGTAACATTTTCTTTGGTTGATCCCAGATCATATTCTGAGGCTAAAGTTTGAGCATATTAAACCAGCATCAGGTTCTCTGAGTTTGCCCAGAGAGTGGATTGGGGAGCTGATCTTGCTGAAAAGTAATACAGCAAACTGGTATTCTGTAGCTCAGCTCAGTTGGTACCTTAAAACAGATTGGGTTTTGGCATGCATGGCTACACAATGGCTGGTGAAAGGGAAAAGGTAGGAATTAGTAGGTGGGGATGTGGGAGGCTGAACAAACTGTTTTGAGTTGTCTTGCCAATTTAAAATGTTGGTCTGGTGTCTTTCATGTTTCTGGCCTTTCACTAAAAGAGTTTTAAAGTCTGCAAGCTGTCATCAATAAATCTGTCATACTAAGAAAGTTACTGAAGTCTACCTGCCCACTTTTCAGTACATATGCTGCTGTTTTTTCATAATTTGTGTGTATTATGTAATACATGAACTCCCAAAGTCACTTAAAACACATATGAAAACCTTTGCCTTTAGTATTTTTAATGTATCTGTCCGTCATTATAATTACAAATGAAACCTTATAGGTGGTCTAAATGCTTCTGCAGTGTTAAAAAAAGATTGAAAAGCCAATGCTTTAAAAGTTTTATCATGGGGTAGGCTAAAAATATTTTCTGAAGGAACTGAATTTGGCAATACCCTTCTCTTTCCATTATCTTCTATTCCAGAACACTAGTTTGGTCTTGTTTTCCTCATCTGTACTGTATACTTCTGTTGGCTAAATCACTTGAGATGAACTCTTATATTTTGGTGGTGGGATGGGGGTTCTTTTGTTTTAGGGAGTATGGTCGACACTTCCAGTGAATGAAAAGAAGCTTAATGCTGCATTTAGATCAGCAAGGAGTGTTATTTTGATATTTTCTGTAAGAGAGAGTGGCAAATTCCAAGGTAAGGGAAAGTGCACTATTGCCAAGGTAAGTGAAAGTGAGTTTTATGTGCAATAGCTTTTCTGTTGTGTCTTCGTTACAACTCACATGAAATCCTCTAGGATTTGCAAGACTGTCTTCAGAGTCCCATCATGGAGGATCACCTATACACTGGGTGCTGCCTGCGGGAATGAATGCAAAAATGTTGGGAGGTGTCTTTAAAATTGACTGGATTTGCAGGTAAATAATTGTTCATTTATGTCGGTGTTTAGTAACAAGGCATTTTAATACCTTTTCTGTGTATCACTCACTCGAGTGCTGACATCATCCTTTTGAAAACTCAATTCAACCAGAGATCTGTCCTCCAATCTCCCCAAATCCATGCCTCCATGCTACTCAGCTTGGGACTCAAGTCTGTAACTGACATGCACTATAGAATTTTCTTTGGTTTTAATGTAGACAATTAATTAATTTAGAGATTTTTAACACTTGATTGTGTTCCTTCACTGATCTCTTGCACTGAAACCAGAAAACTGTGTTCTGAAGCCTTTGAGTAAAACCAACTGCTCACTTGAATAGACAGCTGTGGATAAAAGGGAAAAAAAAAATCCTATAAGGACAGATCTGTCTTCATCTGACTGAACAAAGAAAATGCTACTGCTCTAAAATAATATATGAAATAGTACAGATATTTTGTGTAACATACAGGTTGTGAGCAGTATGCTCATTGATTTAACTGAGTATGTCTTACAGACAAGGTTTTAAACCTCTCTTAAGAAAAAGAGCTATATCAGTCCTGTGAGATGCATTGCATGGTTGTACAAGCACTTTGGGCTGCCAGAAAGACTAAGTACAGGGAAGGTGAGACTTCAAATTAGAGAAGAATACAGGTTGGAAAAATCCTCTGAAGTTACTGACTCCCACCTCCAGCTCAAAGCAGTTCTAGCTTCATAGTTAGGTCAGATGCTCAGGGATTTATTTCAGTAGGTACCATGAGCTACCACCTCACATAGAGACTGGTGAGTATATTCAGATGGTGAGAAAATAAGCAAGCACAATCTCAATATTGTACAAAGACCAAAAAAAAATTTCTTTAATAAGATAGGCTGTCATAGTATGGACTATACTAGTTAATATTGGAATAAAGGAAAGTGGAATCTTCAGTTACTAATACTTAATACATACTAATATGTTCATTCAGAGACCTGACAGTGCAAAGGGTAACAGGATCATTTTGTATGTCGTGTGCTTTTGTATGCATTTTTAAATTTTTTTTTTTTTTATGAAAAATGGAGGCAAAACTATAAATGATGCCACTTGCATATTTAGGCGTGAATTGCCGTTCACTAAGTCTGCTCACCTGACCAATCCTTGGAACGAGCATAAGCCAGTAAAGATTGGACGTGATGGACAGGTTTGTAATTTTTTTTTTTCTATAACCCACATTTTCTAGTGCTTGCTTTCAGCTTTGTATGAGTTGGAATCTTTTTAGATCAGTTGTTACTTGCAGTAGAGTACTGTGACAAAGGCACTCGGCTTATTTCTAATGTTGCAGAAGAAGGAAACAGGAAGCAATACAGTGCCAATTCTGTTGTCGTCCTTGCGGTAAACAGTGTTTGATGCTTCAAAACTATGTGATATTTTGGATTTGAAATGTAACGTGCCTTGCATTGTATGGTGTGCAAACCTATATAGCATCAGTTTTTAAGAACAAGTTCTGGTGTTTTCAGCTGTGTTCTGCATTGCTTTTTTTATATACTGTATTGCTTAGGGCATAGATTTCTACCATTATAAAGTATATGCTGAGTAAATTTTAAGTGGGGTGGCTCTTTGTCTTGTCAGACGTACCAGAGTGCAGCTGTGTTGCTGCTGTCATCAAGTAACCTAGCCTTGACTAAAATAACGGGTTCTGCTTGCTTAAGGCAAGATGGGAGTTGCATAATCCCCATACTGTATGGAAAATGTAGACTCTGCGTTATTTTGCCCATAGACACGTTCACTTTGTTGGGTAGCACGAGTAAAACAATATTTTCAGTCTTGTTTTTAATTTAGTGTGAACTTTAAAAAAAAAAAAAATCCATTAACTTTGTTTCTGTTAAATGGTTAAGGAAGTAGGTTTTTTAATGTTTTGTCCACTTCACTGTAGAGTTGAAATCTGGACGTGGGTTTCATCTTTTTTCATAAAATTGCTGTACTGTTAGGTACTGGGCAAGGATTGGCTGATGCTTGCTCTCCCTGCTTTTCAACTCGGGTTATTTCCTGAAGTGGCTGTCACTTATCCATTTATGTTTTGTGTAACCCTGAATGGATCTCTCTTCTGAGGACGTGTACACTGAGCTTCTTGCATTTACAGCATCCTTTGGGAAGGCGTTCCACAGGCCTGCTAGTCACCAGGTTGAAGAAGCACTTTTTTGGATTGTTGTGCACCTGGCTCCTGCTAGCTTCATTTGATGGCCCCGAGTTCTTGTACCGGAAGAGGGAGTCAACACGTTGATCTCTGCCCCTCTCTCCTCCAAACAACTCGCGGTGTCGGACACTCCCATTGTATCCGTCTTGTCCCCCATACCCCACATATTCCTCTTTTTATTCTAGGCTGGAGAGACCTCACCTGTTCAGTCATTGCATCTAGGAATTGTTGTGCTCATTCAGTTGTCCTCGGTGCCCCGCTTTGAAGCTTTTCCATTTCTACTGTCCCCCTATTTTTTTGAGATGAAAGGGTCAGAACTGCACCCAGTATTTAAGGTGTGGGTGAACATGGACTTTCAGTGTGGTATAATGACTTTCTCATTCTGTGTTCCTTTCCTAATAATCCTGAACACACAAGTTGCTTGTTTCGACTGCTGTCAAGCATTGAGCTGGTATTTTCGTGGGCCTGTCTATCGTACACTGAAGAACTCCCTTTTGAGTGGTAATAGTCAACTTTGTCAGGCCATGGCTTTATCTATGAAACTGGGATGGATTTTCTTCCTATGTGTGTGACTTTTCTCTCTGTAATCATTTTCTTTGTGATGAAAAACAGTCCTCTGATTTTGTAGCAAAACAGTGATGTGGCCTGTATGTCTCATGGGAAGATATGGTTGCCCCAAGTATTGGACTATTTCATGAAAATTCTAAGTAGTGCCTAAAGAGTGAAAGGTAACGTAAGTGAATTTTGCTCTGTCTCTAGTGATACTGAAGCCTCTTCAAAGTGTCTTTTTTTTTTTTTTTTTTTTTTTTTTTAATGTATGATGTTGTCAGTGTATTTGGGAGAGTTTCATTTCTTCAGTTTATAAACCACTACTGAACTTCTAACTAATTCTAGGAAATTGAGCCGGAATGTGGAACGCAACTTTGTCTTCTCTTCCCTCCTGATGAAAGTATTGACTTGTATCAAGTCATTCATAAAATGAGGCACAAGAGAAGAATGCACTCACAACCGCGATCAAGAGGACGCCCATCCCGTCGAGACCCCGTTCGGGACGTGGGAAGGTTAGAAACGTTCTTTGGACTGATAATAGGCACATGTATCAGAATAACGTGATGGAGGAATATGATTCGTCAAAGCTTTCCCTGCGATAAAGAAGAGAGAAAATCCTCAAATCAAGCTGCATGGACAAGTTTGTGGCTTCATTGAGGATTTCACATGGTTCCCCGGTCTGTCATTTTTCAAGAGGAAAATGGGGATCTTTGCTTTTGCAGAAAAAAAAGCTCTTAAAGTGCTGTCTAGTTTAGACTAGATCATTTATTGAGATAATGCAACATGTAATGCTAGCTGTAGGTAAGCTTGGCTTGATTATGAGCAGGCTAGATGGAGAGAAGGAAATATTTATATGCCAAAAATGTGTTAATATCTTGTAAAAGCCTTTTCTTTCAGGTGTGTCTCTGGATAAGCCTTATCAAATATGGGACTTTTATAAGGATCACTTAGAATTTTGCAGAAGATGCCGCCTCATTTTGAGGATAAAATATTTAAGTTATTTTGATATTCAAGAGGAGCATTATTGGGACTGTTTCAAATTGTGTCACCGTGATGTGTTAACCCCATTGCCAAATATTCTCTAACATGTAACCACTGAATTCACACATCTTGCTGAGCTTCTGAAAACAGTAGGTTCTTTCCAAAAGGGATCAAGTGGCCCTTGGAGACCCGGCAACAAACCAAAAAGAATGGCTGTTGCTGTGTCTGTATATACAACCTTTCCAGATGCTGGCAGTACCTGTGGACTTAAAGTATTTTTAGAGGATCGACATGGTTATTGATCACTGCTATATGAACTTAACATCATTTTCCAGAAAAAAAGGGGGTATAACTTGTTACAGAATTGGAGAAGTCTTTGCAAAGAACTGATATTAGCCCTTCTGCCAAACACCTTTTCCCCGTGTAGCCACTTTGCATACAGACTGATGTATGGTTTGGGCTGAAACCTTTGGTTAAGTTTCCTCTTTGTGGAAACATCCTGTGGTAGGTACAGATACCCAACAAGAGTCCCCATTTCCTTGAGCTTAAAAAAAGGACACTGTAACGAGTAGGTAGGAGGAAACCTGGCAGCGCCCCCCTATTTTTGGCTTTAAAGGACTGAACACCAAGATGGCTTTTGAAGTTAAGCTAAGAGGTTTCCAGTGCAATAAAGTATATACAAGTGAAGGTTTTGCAATGGACTGCAAACTATACATATAACACCACCACACCTTCTCAAGCCTGCCAGGGCCTCCATTTATGTATGTGGCTTACAGCTTAAAGTCAGTAGTTGGACTACTATATGAACTGTTTCTATCATATTTTATACCGGTCGTAAATGCACTCTCAAAACTACAAGAAAGCGGTATGTTTATTCTTTACACCAGCTTTTATTTTCCTTGATCTGATTTTGCTGTAGATGCAACTGCTTTGGTTTTCGGGCTTTTTGCTCATAGTAAAGAATCTGCTTTCATTTTAAAAAGCTTAGTAACTGGGTATGGTGGGCTTTAAAGACTGAAGTGGGGAAGGGGGAGGAGAAATGACTTTATAAAGCTAAAAGCTACATGAGCTCGTTACTCAGTGAGCAAGTTGCACAGTAATTAAGCAATTTAAGAAAGTGTTAATTTCTTGTCTTGTCATAAGGAATTATATTGTTGGGGTGGGGGGGAAGGGAATGGATTTGTAGCTGCTTTATGTTTAGAAACACTGTTATGTTAGCATTGGAATCTCCCATTAATGTTGATGTACCTTGGTGGAGCAAAACTAGCAGCCAGTTTGCAGTTCTTTATTAAACATAACAGCGACTGGAGTGTAACTGTTTTCTAATCAAACTTCCTCCTTGAGAGCAAAGTTCTTAAAGATAACATCTCTTCCATAAAAGAGTTGTTTGTAGAGAAAGGAGCCCCGATTATTTTAATTATTAGGAAGCTTAAGTGTTCTTCACCTTTCTCTAAAAGGCACCAATGCATTGCTGGTAAATTGCCTAGAACAGAAATTGTTAGAAATAATATCGTTGGCCTACTCAGTTAGAAAAGCTACAGTGAAAGAAGCAATTTCGCAAAGCATGCACAGTTTTATTTATAAATGTTATGGAACTAGGCCTTTTATAGAATTCTTTACCCCATAGCTAGCAAATACAGCAATGTCCATGCCTTGTGACTGTTATGATATATTTTGCCATCTATTTTCACTGTATTTAGTTTTGTAAATTCTTTTGTTATCAAATAGGTTGTTTCAAAATGTGATGTGGAAAGTGTGATGTTAAAGCCTAAGTCTGAGTTTGTTTTAGACAAATTTGTTACCCTTTGCTTGGTACGAAGGTACAGTTGGGTAGAGCTCCTTTCTTAGCTACCAAAGCTCCTGTAGCCAGAAAGTTAACAGTGGAGGGTATTTAATCACGCTGTTGTTCCTGATTATTTGAGTTCAAATTTAAAGCTGTAGAACATTGTGAAGCAGATGGAATTCAGAATTATTAAATTGAGATCCTGGGCAGCTCAAGCTATTCCTCTGAGGTATTCTGCTGTGACGAATGCTCCAAGCAACCTTGTTTAATCTCTGATATCTAATTTGTGTAGGCGTCGACCAGAAGATTATGATATTCATAACAGCAGAAAGAAACCAAGGATTGACTATCCCCCTGAGTTTCACCAAAGACCAGGTTAATATCTTACTATGAAGATTTGTGTGCACCAATTCACAAGTATTTTCTCTTCTAGTGTATCCTCATTTAATTGAAAAGTAAAATATTGATATGACTGGGATATAAAAATGGGACTTGTCCCAAGAGCTGCCTGCTGGTTTAACCCACCTCTCACAGAAGTCAGTGACACCGTTTCACTGGTTTGAGAGGGAGAGCTGAGTTAATCTAGGCTGAGCCCTTTAAGAGCCTCAGAATTGCATACATCGTTGTGAATGATCCTCTTAAGTACTTTGTTAATACGAGTAGTTGAAATGCCTGACGGGCACAAGAATTGGTTTGCCCTACTTGTCAATACACTAATTGTCAAATTAAAATGTTTATGAGAAGTTTCCGACTGGGAAAGTCAGCTGAGATTGCCTGACTGATTGCCTGTGTTTAGGGATGACGGTAGACGTTTGGTTATGTTTTCAGAGAGAATTTTTTTACAAGCTTGACATGAGAAAGGGAGGGGGAAATTTCACTGCATTTTACAAGAGTGTCTAATGATGAGTTTGAGAAAGGAATTTTGTTGTTCTCCAGAAAGAAATGGTTACAGGGGTAATGCAGCAACAACACTGTTAATATTGCAGATTTTTTTTTTTCTTCAGAAAGCAGTTATTAAGAAATTGTCACTTTTAATCTACTGAATCTTGCCTCACTGCTATTAGAAATACGTATTGTATTATTTCAGTAGTAGATTTCTAAATCTTTCTTAAGAACCTGCCTTTATCTGTCCAGCTTGACTGCAAAGCCTGTGTTCTTCGATGCAAAGAGTGTTGTTGCTGCTCCCTGGCTTTCCAAGACCATTGTTTAGAGTACAGAAGAACGTTTTTTAAAATAATGAAGCTTGGCAGCATTATTTTATTAGCATAAGCATGCGTGGTGGTTTGCACCGTTTTACTGAGCTCTTTAAAGTTTACTTCCTGGGATTTACTGAAGCTGTAACAAGTCTTTGCTGTGTGGGGCTTTTTGAGATGTTTTTTAGGATGTTTTCCATTTTTCTGTGTAACATTGTATCCAAAACCTATTAGGAAATCAGCCCTAAGAGTTGCCCAGATGAACACACCGTACTGAATACACAGTTAATAAGTAATAACAGCCATGCGCTGACTGCCAAGGGACAGTACCCTGCAAACTTGTGGGCATTCCCAATTCGTCTGACTAAAATTCAAGTCTTTATTTGCACAGATACCCCCTTTCATATTTGTTTGTAGTGTGTGCAGGTTCCTATGGGTATATCTGTATCATTTTTTTGTTACTACATTATACTATTTTTCCATACTGTCTACAAGAAGCTGTAAGTTTTTGAGAGTTATTTTGAAAGCAAGGGTAATGGCAGGTAGAAACAACTTCATAGCTGGCACAAAATGAAAGGACAGTTTCTAATAAGTATATTTTTTAAGACTGTTATCATGAGATGGTAAATTGAATTAATACTGCTTGATGTTCGAACAGGGTATATAAAGGATCCCAGATATCCCGAAGTAGACAGGTAAGGTGTGTTCATGTTATTCATTTTACGCCCTGGTAACTTGTCTGTATGGATAAATTGGATTTAGTTCTACAAATTTTTATTCCCAACAGACGATTTTCAGGAGTTCGACGAGATGTATTTTTAAATGGGGTAAGTTGGTGCATGCAGACTTTTGGGAAACTTGTTATATTCAGCTTTCAGTGCTTCCAAAGAACACTCATCGCAAACGTTAATATTACTGTCTTTCATTTTAGTCCTACAATGATTACGTGAGGGAATTCCACAACATGGGACCACCACCACCATGGCAAGGAATGGTTTGTGTCTCGTTGAATTCAATTTTTCTCTGTAGAATATGGCTTTTTTTGTTCCCCTCTAGAGGAGCCTAGCATATTCAATGTGTGCTCAACTCTTCCCTTTTCCTAAAATATCTTTGCTGTAACTGTAAAATTTTTTGGGGAAAAATATTTATATCCAGTATTTTGTAATTTATTTAGCTCTCAGCAATAGTCCAGCATTCTGGTAAGCGGTACAGCAGCAGGAAAACTAGCAGAACCCTCCTTTAGCCTACACGAGAGGGTGTGATGAAATTTTGTATTCCGCTAAATATTCATAGTACTTGGCTTTCTCTCAAATAGCAAATGCATCAAAGAGGTGGACTTGCTGCAGAGGCTCATGGAATGGACTGGCATGCTCTAGTGTTGCGCAGTGGCTCGCTTTTGGCTATGGCAGTGAAGCATGCAGGAAAGTAGCAGAATATACTGCACACCATAATCAAAATAAGTCTTGCTGTATTGCGGCCTCCACTGAAATGCACTTTTTTCCCAGTCAGATGAGCATATGTATGAGTACATGTATCTACAGCTACGTACATGGAAATTAAGGTGGTTCACTTGTACAGCTGTGGTTTTGCCATCAAGTCAGGAGGAATAGTCATTATAACTAGTTATTTTGGTTATATTTAGTAATTCTGGCCCTGAGGGTCCTGATTTTGGATAACTGTAATGAGTCTTTTGGCTCTTGTGTATACTGTGAATGAGCAAAAGGCAGCGCCAGATGTAGAGATGCTACTATAGCCTCTCATTTTTCTCAGCTAAAACACAACTCTGGTTTGTCATAACTGAAGGAGGTGAGCAAAGTTGTCAGACTGGGAGGAAAATGGTTTCTCAAACACAGCTAAGCCTCCAGAAACTCTCATTTTTTTTTTCCTCCGTTCTTCCCCATTCTGCATGCTGTCCAAGTAGTCGTCCTAAAATCCGGCACTTCCACCTACTTCCTTTGTGACAGCAATGCAAGCAAAGATGCTTTGGTCATATGGGAAAGAAAGGCCTTGCTGATTGAAGAAATGGAAGAGAACAGCCAAGACATGTCTTGTTTTTTAAAAAAAAGAAAAGTTACCTGGTAGCCTTGTGTAAAACAATTTGTCTTGCAGAGTAAGTTTGTTCATTTAAAATAGGAATATATTCATAAGGAATGGCACTGAAAAGATTCATTTCTGTAAGAGCTCACTGGTTTGGACAGAATTAACATTCCATATGCATAGATTTAAAAAAAAAAAAAAAAAAGAAAAACAAAACCCAAACAACCACATTTAAGTAGCAGAAGTTTAATGTACAGTATCACTGAGGCAGATGTGGAAAGAAGACGTGTTTGGGGCTTGAGGAGGGTGTTGGCCAGACTTCTGAAGAAGCGATGGTAGAGAAGTAGTAAAGCATGCCGACTCTACTGAAAACAGTCTGCCATTCAGTTCGGAGGCTGTGATCGGATATATTAGATGTCATGTTTTCCACCTGAATGAAAGTAACTTCTGCTCTTCATTCCCAGCACCCAGCCTTGTGTGCATTCCTTTGTTTTGAAACACTCAAACTTCCTGTAACTTTCTTGTAGCCACCGTATCCAGGTATGGAGCAGCCACCACACCACCCTTACTATCAGCACCACGCACCTCCACCTCAAGCTCACCCTCCATACTCAGGACATCATCCTGTACCACATGAAGCAAGATACAGAGACAAACGAGTAGTAAGTGTCCACAGAGAGAGGGGGACACGAGTCTGCAGGCCAGAGTAGGAACGGGAGGAATTTGGGGTACAGATGTAGCCTAACCTGAGATTTGTTGAGTTTGATAAACTGCATTTTTAAGACCTGTATTAGTTTTCCTTGTAAAGGTCAGTTATTTAGATTGACTAGACAGTTCCAGCATCTTTGAAAAGCCTCTCTCTCCCAGGTGATGTAGAAGTGCAAAGTTCTTGGAACATACTCTTAAACTGAGGTGTGGGCTTCCAGCTGTCTTCAGTCGCTGAACTTTTCATGCTGAAGCCCAGTTGGAATAAGGACATGCCTGTAACATTGCTTGCAGTCATGCACAACAAATTACTTTATCAGCAGAAAAGTTTGTGTTTTACAACTTTTTACAGGCACATCAAAAAACAGGGCAGATTGTTAAATAATTTGTTACCTGGCTTTGAGAGCTACTCTTGCTGGTATCTGGCATTTGAACCCCAGCTTCTGCACAGTGGAAGCACAGACGTGGTGCTGCCCTGAAGACGAAAGAAGAAACTTGTGCTTATGAATGCTGGACATAATTTTTTTTTTTTTTTTTCTTTTGAATACTGGGGTTTCCCAAGAGTTACAGCCAATCCTATGCATAAGGGAAGGGAGGGGATTTTAATCTGGGAAAGAAAATGAACAGAGCTGTCCTTTCATCACAGCACGACTACGACATGAGAGTAGATGACTTTCTTCGCCGCACACAAGCAGTTGTCAGCGGTCGGAGAAGCAGGCCTCGGGAAAGGGACCGAGAGCGGGAACGGGACCGTCCTAGAGATAATAGAAGAGACAGAGAACGTGACAGAGGCCGTGATCGGGAAAGGGAGAGAGAGAGGATTTGTGACCGGGACAGAGACAGAGGTGAAAGAGGTAGATACCGAAGATAATCTATCTGGAACCAGTGCTCACTTGAAACAAAAAAAGCTTGTATTTTTTTGTGTGTTTACAAGTAGTACATTTTATTTTCAACTGTCTACTTAAAGTTCGTTGTGTAGAAGGATTTATAACGACCCTCTCTATTCCAAGCATGCAGTGAACTATGAACTGGAAAAACTCAAATCGGCCAAAAATAAAATACGCAAAGCTGACACTCAACTTGGCGTTTCTATTGGAGCGGAATGGGAAACAGCTAAGAATGTAGATACTGATTAATTCTCAATAAGTGTTCATCTACTTAGTGACTTCATTCTAGGTTTTTGAATACTGATGGATAACTGCCTTTTTTTTTTTTTTTTTGCTTTGATGTTTTCTTCCTGTAGTTTCACATGGTTCAGTGGGAGAATGCTGCTATCAAGTATGCAAATATTGAAGTATGATTTTTTTTGACTGTATGGCAGTGTTGTAGCAGCCTTTTTTTTTTCTTCCCTCTGCCCTTGTTTTTTAACCCTATCTGTAAAGTCAAGTGTTTTTTCAGTCTTCAGTAATGAAAGCAATATTAAGAAGACACTATTGATTTCTAATTTTTAACCTTTTTTAAAAATCTTCCCGTGTTCAGTAACATTTTGGTCAATACTCTTGTCTAGTCTCCCTCCAAAATGTACACATTGCTTGGAATGTTCACAACTTGCGTGTGTGGAACCAGAAAATATTGCTGTATTCTACATTGCTACCATTTTTTTTTACAAAAATAAATTGGTAACTATTGAAATGATTAAAACTCCAGATCGGGTTTCTTGGTCTTCTAAGCTTGCCAGCTTTGATAGATTCTGGCAGTTCTAGGAAAGTATTTGTGTTCAAAAATAGTTTAAAGGTTCTTGTGATAGGTGAAATTGATCCGAACCCTGAACTTAGGAAAAGGACTGCTGAAATAAAAGGTAATTGCTTTTCTGTTTCCACAGTGTAGTAGTCAACTTTATAGCTCCTGCAGCTAATCAGAGTTATTAAGGCCCTACGTGTTCAATTTAATCAAATGATCTCTGAGCTATTGATAGGCTGTCGTCGGCCATAATCATACCTGTTTCCCAGGAGTGTGTTAGTCCTGCAAGATCCAGACTCTCCCCATGTCTTCTTTGCAGTGATTACTGCATCACTTGTTATTTCTCTTAAATAGGAAGTATTTGAATCTAAATGCCGATGGTAAAACTGTGAAAAAAGAAAACTTGTAGTGGAAGTTGTTCGGTTTCTCCAGCAATTTCCTGGTTCTCAAAACCTGTGTGAGTAGCACTGCCTTGGTGGACTTCTTCTTAACCTTTCTTCAGTGTCTTTTCACATAACAGAGCCAGATTGTAGCATGTGCTTTGAAGACTTCCAACTCCACGGCGCTGAGTGCTGTAGCTGGTTTTATAAACTGCAATATAAGATTGGCCACGGTGTGGCAGTGGTGGAAACACACGGTTTTTAGCTCTGACGATAATTTAGGCTCTGTATATTTTAGTCTACACAGCTATAGTAAACATCTAGATGTGCTAAGCAAAAAGTTTGACCTCCATGCGAGTATGTTGGGATTTTTTTTGAACACTACAAGAAGTTGAACATATGTTTTGGGTTCCTCAAAACAGTTTACTGTGCACTGAGAGGTTAGCCTGTTAGTAGGATTAGATCAGTCTATCAAATTCAGTACACATACTGTGTCTGATTGGAGAAATGCATCATAGGTCACCTCCATTTGTCGGTATCTTTCTCTGCTTTATATACAGATTCTAGAAAGAGGGGGTTTTGATTTTGGTTGGTTTTCTTTTTTACTTGTTAAATTCAGTGCTAGATGAGCCAAACATCTCTGGGTAAGTTGCAGGAAAGAAGCACCTCCTTAAAGTGACTGCAGAGCACTTTCTCTGTCCAGCTTTTCCCAGCTACCCTGTTGCCCGTGTCCTTTGTTAGCCCTATCTGACCAGTGTCTACACAGTATGCTAGGAAGCTTGCTGGCCTTCTGGCAACCAAACTGACATCTTGGCAAATCTTCTACTTGCAGGAGCTGGACGATGGGGGCTGTTAGTGATCAAGCTTGGTGGAGCTGAGCCTAGGGACCCAGCTCTACGAACAGCTAACAGCAAAACTTTTCAGATCTGGGGCCTGAATGTCACGCTGTTCCCTTTTCTGTTCACTGTGCATATTTCAATATGCATGTTCCTGCATACGATTCCATCATGGCCATAGGAACAGTGTACCAGAAGTTACCATGAGAAGCACTAGTCTTGTTCTAACCCCTCTTTAGTTTGGAAACAATTCACTTGAGCTTTTATAAATGTTGTAGTATGAAGAGATTTAAGCAGATTGACAATGCTGATAAAAAGGTTAATGTAGTGTAGAAATAAATATAACCTGTTTTCTCAGCCTGTTCTGTTTGAAAACAATTCTGCAGCATCTAGAATACAGCAAATATCAGTTAACATTGGGGCAGGTTCTTTCCTGAGTAAGCTGGCACAGCAGTGGAATAACCTTACCTAGAACAGGAGGCCTGAAGTAGCATCGTTTTAGGCTTTCATCAGTAAGTGCACCTTGAACAATTTCAGGAGTGCTGCATTTACTACCACTCTTATCTGACCCAAGAGCAGCGTTATTTTCCATCCCAGGTTTTCAGGCAAGGCAAGTGGCTGTTGCACTATTCCCATATGTAATGTTACTTCTTTGCAAGTTCCATCTCTAGAGGTTTTCCTGCATTTATCAGTTAGCGTGGCTCAGAAGCATTTGGGGGTTAAGATGGGCAAGTTACTGACAAAGGTGGTTTTCACACCCCTATAGTGTTGCAGTTAGAATGATGGCACGTGCAGGACTCCAGGCAGATACTGAATGGAAAAGAGAAATGATTCTCAGAAAAGTAATTTCTCTGTAGAGGAGTAGTCAGTGCATTTGTAAAAATGCGATGATACAGGCTTTTCCAGCCACTTGCAGCTCCTAGTTTTTCATGATCTTGGCCGTTCACATGGGTGCTTTTTAGGAGCCCATGATCTTAGCTTCGCTGTACAATCTGGAGAGAGCTATTCCGACAGGAGAGGCGTTTTGGTTGTTTATCATCGAGCCTGGGTGACATTATAGGAGAGGACAGAGTTAAGAGAAGGGGACTAGTTGCAGATTGAGGGACCCACAGTGCCACACATGGGAAGGCTGAATTTATGAAATACACCAAAACAAATTTGAAAAGTTAGAGCAGCAATTACCATTCTAGGGACTGTGTGTGATCAGCTAACAGGGTCCTATGGGATAAAGCAACTGTAATTCAATCTTATTTAGGCTAGAAGGAATTTGCTGGCTAACCAAGCAGCTCAGCCCCACAACAGCGTTTTAGCATCACCCAGTTCAACAGGGTGCTTCATGATATGCCCAGCTTAAAGTGTATCATAATAATTTTATTCACCAAGTAATGTGCATAAATGCCTTGCTGAATCAGCCTAGGAGAAGAAAAAGTGCTGATGGGAACAGGATGTCTATTCTTTCTTCCTCTTTGCCATCCTGCCACATCTCCTGCAGCAAAATAAGCAGCACTTGACAAGAATGAAGACGACAATAGCTGCACAGGTGAACAAGAATGCCAGGACATCCAGGCAGTGGTACTGGTACCAGGTGAGATGGTGAGCAGCTGGTCTCAAGTGCTTTGCTCCTTTGTGACGCATGACAAATTCAATCCAGAAGACAGCTCTGTCCAGAGGCTTAACTGGCTGGTCGTGGTGTATCTTAGATAACTTTAGAGCATTTTCCTTATAGCTGGGGGAAAAAAGAAACCAAGGAGATCTGTCACTGATTGCTGAAACAACCCATTCAGCACCTGGCAGCCCTCTTGAGGAAGGTAGAAAGCCCTGCTTTTACTTTCATCAATGTTATTTAAATATATTTGAAACTGGCCCAATTTACTCCTGTCTGCATAGAATTGGGTTATGAACATTAATAGAGAAAGCCAATCTTTTGCAAAGAAAAGTTATTCAAAATTATTCCAGATACTCCTTTAAAAAAAGCAACATGGAAACATTTGCAGCGTTTTCTGTTCCAATATAATATAGTGTGCTGGTTTTGGCTGGGATAGAGTTAATTTTCTTCATAGTAGCTAGTATAAGGCTAGGTTTTGGATTTGGGCTGAAAACAGTGTAGATAATACAGAGATGTTTTCCTTATTGCTGAGCAGTGCTTACACAGGGTCAAGGTCTTTTCTGCTTCTCACCCCACCCCACCAGTGAGCAGGCTGGGGGTGCACAAGAAGTTGGGAAGGGACACAGCCGGGACAGCTGACCCCAACTGACCAAAGGGCTGTGCCATAACATAGGACGTCATGCTCAGCAATAAAGCTAAGGGGGAGGTTGATGGGGGAGCTGCATGCACTGGATTTCATCTGGGTTGTTACAGCTCACCTCCACCACAGCTGATTCCCTCAGATACTGGACGCTTCCATCAGTGTTGGTCCATTTGCTTCAGGAATTTGCAAGTTCTTCCTTGAAGGGATACCTGTCCTTCACACTTGGCAGGAGTCGCTGCCAAAGACTGAGGACTCCTGCCTTTTTTCCAGTCCCTCTGTCAATGGCCTTATCCTTAGCAAGGGATCCCAGTTGCCAGGCTTTCATACCCTCTAATTCCTGACTGATAGGTACAGTAACCTAAGGATATTGGTAACCCAGGGTAGGAAAAACAATTGTTGTGGCTACAGACAGAGTAGGCGTAATACAGCTAGAATTGTCACCCAGAGCCTCCAGAGGATTTATACTAGCAGAGAACAAGGAAGAGAGAGCGAGGAGAAAACGGTCTCGGGAGCTGCTCTGGGCTTTCCAAGAACTATTTTTCTCAAAGAGATCATAAAATGTAGTATAAGGAAAATCAAATTACTGATCTCTCCTTTCTGAGAAATGCTGATTCTCAGTAATGAAAGGTGGTTTTTATCTGAAACCCAAACTCCAGCTACTCTGTAGTTTTGGTTTCCAGAAGAGCCAGCAGTTTCTCTCATCAGCAGCCCAAGATTCTAATAACCGCATCCTACTGTAAGGCAACAACACAACTCACGTGGAATTGTTAATGACTGTATTCAGTGCATCAACTAGGTCCTGTGTCTCCAGCGTGCTGAAATCCAGCTCAACTGCAGCTCCCTTTGCCCTCATGTGAGCAATGTTGTCGTGCTGATCGGCAAACATAGGAATCCCAACCATCGGGATCCCGTGGTAGATAGCTTCATAGATCCCATTGGTCCCACCATGAGTGATAAAGGCCTTCGTCAAGGGATGGCCTGGAACAGGGAAGGAGAGGCACGTGTAACAGCAGCTGTGGCAGACTGTGTTCGCTGGGAGGTGAGCACTGCGAGCTACCTGGGCAAATGCACTGCTAGAGAAGGGAACAGCCCTGACCTCTGGATCAGCATCAGAGCTTGCACGCTTAGCTTTCACACATTCATATTTATTTTAATGTAATGTGTGAATCAGCATGTTCCTCCAGACTACCCCAGAGTTACTTCAGCCCTTCTGCTGTTGTGCAGTTCTAGTTTTTACATGATACCGGGTTCACAACAGCCTTGCTTAGGTCAAGCATTTTGAAGAATGAGTCCTGGAGATTAACTGCAGAGGCCACATCCAGCTCCAGAGTACATCTACTTTGATGTTTACTCCTGCCTACAGGTAGTTCTTAGCCCTTCCAGACAATTGCCACCGAGCTCTGTAAGACAAGAGGCTTTTGCTTTAGAGATCTATCTTTATAGCTAAGCTCAAATTGCTGCCTTCTTGAGCCACTGCTCCCTACTCCTTTCACAGCCTGTCTGTATCTTCCATGGTTCTTGTACAGCCACTCACCTTAAAGTCAAAAGCAGGCTAGGAAATTAAGGCTCCAAGAGCAAACCTCTGCTACTTAAACTGCAAAACTAATTGTAGCCAGAAGTGTTATGTGGTTCTTTTGCCCGAATAAGCCATTTTAGTGGAAAACCAAAGAAGGAAACAGTTTTTCCAAGGGCGCTATGCATCCCAGATAGAATCAGGCTCACCAAGCAGGTCATTTTGGGGTATCCAGTCATAAATCCTGGTGTTGGAGCCCAGAGTTTCTGGTTTTTTTCCTTTGTACCGCCACAGGACCTTGAACAAAGGAAGAATAAGTTAGACATAGTGCATGCGATGTGCCCTTCTGTATTATTACATGTAATGTTGGACTTTATCTCAAACCCACATACCTTTTCCCAGTAATTCAAATAGCTTTGGCTCCAGTTTAGCTCTGATTAGTTATTATGTGCTTATTATAAAAATCGCATAGAGTGGTTTTTATATTTTGGCCTACGGACACACCTCCACGACATTTGGTTCAGAGAAGGGGAAGTGCCAGAACTCCTCATGAGGTGACTCAGCAGTCCGCCTCTCTGCGGAGCCCAGCTTCTTGGCTGTGGCACAGCCAGCAGGGAAGCAGATAAAAACCAGGCCAGTCCAAGCATAAAGGGCTCGCTGAAGGCAACAGGAGCGACAAAAAACAGGGCAAGTTGGTTTAGACTCGAAAGGAGATTCACCTTTTGTGGAAGCTGACTGAGGGCTCTGGCAATCACATTGCTTTTTTCATCACTTAGGTTGTAGACCATTGACCCGAGAGAGAATACCACGATGCCGTGTTCCCCTGAGCTCTGAACAAATTCTTCCATTTCCTAGGAGAGGCAGAAAACACTTAAGGGTAATTATGCACTGCAGATTACACAGATTTCTGTGAACAGAGCGCATAACCTTTTTAGCTTATTGAGGAGATGATTGCGGTGTATGAGCACCTCCACTGATAGAAGGGCATTACAAAGATAGATGTGGCCCTGTACAAAACAGACAGTTTCTCCCCAAGAAGGAGCAGGACAAGTTGAGACAGGCGACAGCAGCTTTGTCTTTTTGAAAGCAAGTCAAGCAGTTTCAGGACACATTTCTTTCAGAGCACAAGGAGCAGCAATGGATCCTGGCACTGGTGTGGGAGGGCCATACCCTGTGACACCCTGCCTAGCATAGTCAGTCGTGGTTCTGGATTTTCCTGGAACAAGTACTTTGCATTTCATAGCTCTGCAGGAAGGGACAGTGCTGAAAACTGACAGGGTTTTTCAGTATCCTGATCAGAGATTCATTGAGTCACTGCTGTCACTTTGTTAGTCAGCCAGTTCTCTGTATCTTGCAATACCTAAACAGAATTTCTACAAATCAGACCAACAGGTCTTCCTGTTCCTTATTTTAGTTAGTGTCATGTGAAATGGAGCGATAGCATCCAAAAGAGAATGGTTATCCATTTCCCCCAACTCAACCCCTGCTACAGGGGAGTAGGAAGAGAGTGAGAAGGTTTCTTTTAGTGGACAATTTGCACTGAAAATACCCTACCTCCTCTAAGGCTTCTACAGGAGTGATAATCTAGACCAGAGCTTGTTGTGTTGCCATGATCAGTATCTGGGAGTTTCAAATTCCACCTGAATATTGCCAGTCGCAGCAGAGCGTAGGCTGGAGATGCTGAGTATTTTACTCCCTTTAAGATGTCTTAAACTAAGCAACAATAGAAAAAGTGTTCATCACTCGTCTCTTTCTGCAAGTCTTGACTCCATTTTGTCTATAAAGAATTTGTCCCTTCACAGTGCCTTTTTGCATCAGGTATTTCAAAGTTATCACAGGCTGCAAGTCTGTATCTTAGAATTAAATCTTACACTTAACTACTCTGAGGTAGCACCTATTTTTCCTAAAAGAAACACTGTATTCCCTCCTGCTGACCTCAGCAATCCTTTTTTAAGACAGCAGGCTGTAAACCCAGCCCTCAGTTTGCACAAGTACGCACAGATTGCTAAATAGCTCCATGCTGCCCACCGGCAGCAGAGCATCTTCTTTAAGAGTGAGCTTTCTCAGGACGTGGCTTGCACAGTTGACCAGGGAGGCAAACAGGTTTTGTTCTGCTGGGCAAACAACCAACCAATGGCAGAATAAAGTCGGGATACCTTTGGTAACGGCTTTGCAGGCTGGCAGTGAAGGCCTCCAACGAACTCAAAGTTGGGCAGGAAAGGGCGTGGAAATTCAAAATCCCAGTATGTTCTGATTAACCATATCTCTGCTTTCCCCATTGTCTCACACAGGGTTGTGGGCCTTCCTGTGGACAAGGTACAAGGGGTTTACAACACGCATGGGAGCAGTCTTGTTTGCTGTAGATTGCCTTACCTTTGGCTTTTGGCACTCCCAGTCAGTGTAGTCTATCAAATCGTGCATGAAATGAAAACATGGACAAATCCAGACCTGTTCTTTGCCCTGTCCTGTGTTCGGCCTTGACAGGTTGCCACGAACAAGGCAATATGATCTTTAAAAGGATTTTGAACCTTCAGGATGAATTTAGAGCAGTACAGGAGTAAGTGAGAAGCGTTTAGTTTCTGTGATATAGAAGTGCCATTCTTGTACCACTGAAAGACTTCATTACCTGTGCTTGCATTAAAAACACCCTTTGGGGAAGAGAACAATCACAGAAAATTTAGTTCCAAATAAAAAATAAATGAATCGCAAAGTGATGATTACCAGTCAGGGAGAAGGAAAGTTTTTAAACAAAGTTCTGTGGCATTTTTCAAATGGTGACTCAGTCAGTGACTGCTCAGACTACAATAAAAGACAGGTACGGCCATCCCTAGTTCTCCTGGGGACTGGGTCAGCTCCTTCTGACATATATTGGGAAAATCTGGCCAAATCCATAGATGCTTTGAATGTCTTCTTATGCAAAATCCAATGTTTCTAGAAATCCATCTACAGAAAAAAATCCAATTGGTAAAACTATTTTATAGCTTCCCATTTGCAAAAATACATATTCTCAGGTACCTGTCACAAGATGTCTTTGCAGTATTTTCCCCACAAAGTGGAACTGGGGAGTAAAAGGTAAATGATTGTCCAAAGCCAGCCTAATGCAAGCAGGAAGCAAGCAAAATAAGCAGCAAGATAAGAATTATCTGTAGGGTATCTTCTTATTTACAATTTACACCAGTAATTTTTTTTTTTAAGTAAAGAGCAATGAGTCAGTTACAAAGTTCCTGGAGTGAAAATTAAGCCTGCATTACAAGTAGAGTGATATAAAGGTGTAATTAAGTCTTATGTGGTATTTAAAAAAAAAAGATCAATCCAGGGAGAAGGGACTAGTTTGCAGAGCACAGAGGCATTCTTGGGAAATGCAGGAAGAGATTGGAGGGCAACAGAATAGATGCCCTTGTGCTTTCTGTTCACTCGTTATCTGCCTAAACATAGATACTCTGTACAAGATTCAAAGTCCATTGAATTAAAAGGTCTCTTTAGTAGACTTTGAATCAAGCCTGAGTTGTACTAGGTTGGAACAAAAATTTCAGGTATATATATAGTTTAAGGAGACTATTTCAAACTCTGAATGGTGGATGAAAGGGAAAGGTGACAGTTCTTACCATTTATTATTGGAGAATATGAACTCATGCTTAGCATTCTGTACTACGCAGGGCTGCAGGATGATACCTCCAGACGATGCACACAATGTGAATGAAGGGTGCTTTTTTGCTCTGCAGTTTTCCAGAGACAGCCAGTGTTCCTGGTTACAACAGGGTTAACTCCATCCCTGTGTTGTCAACGGAGCTGTCTCCAGTGCCTTACACTCAGTTAGGGAATGGTTTTGCCCTGGAGCCTTTATCCACTACCATCTTAATTGTAGAAGTGCCTGTCATCAAGATGAAGAGGCAACAACTGTCCTCTGAAAGCACTAAAATGGGCATACAGCTCACTGCAGGAGCTCACCAGCAGTATCATCATTGACAAAAATTAGAACTATGTGCTCTAAAGATCCTCAAGAGGAACTAGAGCAAAACTGCACTGGTGTCTGTTAGACTAGACCAGACCTAAAAAGGAAAGCACAGCCTCCATGTGACCAAATTTGATTACCATCTCTGCTGGCCATTGAGAAGGAGTATTTTGAGACAACAGCATTGAGCTCCCAAAACATTCAAAAGGCACAACCTATGCAAGAGGAGAAACCACTCAACAGCTGCCTTACCTAAGACATTACTGTAGTACCCATCCCATTCATCTCGCCAGAACTTCAAGAAAAATAAATCCGTGTAAAAGTAAAAGAGGAAGTTGTGTAGTCTTTCCACGAAGGACATCTGGTCTGTCATCCCCCTTGTGCTAGCAGGCACATAAGAAGGTGGGGACGGGAGCCCACCGCACAGCCGCTCTACCACATTCCCATCAGAGAAGCGGAAGCTGTAGACAAACGGAATTGCTAGGATTTCTGCTACGAGCTCCCCACCTACAGACAGGGGGTCAGCGATCAGAACATCAAACTTGGCCTGCTGCAGCTTTTCTATCAGCTGAGGGTTCATCAACAAGGTGTCACAGGTCTGCTTTGACATATTGGTAAAAACCTCCAGGTCCTTTTTCATCCTCCACATGATCTCCCAGGGGAAGAGATTAGAGGCCTCATTCATCCAGAAATTGAGGAAGTCCTCCATCACAGCATGCAGGGTCTTCTGGGTAAAGGGGACTTGCAGGACCTCAAAGGTGAAGGGAGAGGAGGTGTCTCGGTAGTTGATGAGCAGATTGCTTGAGGGCACCAGCACAGTCACTTCATGACCCCGGAGAACAAGCTCTTCCAGCAGCACTTTCACATTGATCCAGTGACTTGCATCGGTGGGCCAGACCACCACCTTCCCACAAAAGCCACCGCTCCAGCAGCATGCGTAGGCCCAGAGCAGCCAGGGGAACCTTGGCCCCATCATCTCAGCAGTCAATGTACAACTCCAGTCTGACTGAGCTGGAAGCAGTTTGCTGCTCCAGTGTGCAAGCCAGCCAATAAAAGCGAGATCTTGGTGCCAAGCCTGGCAAGAGGGCACGTCAGAACACAAGACAACACTCATGGGAGGACTGGGCAAGCAGCAAATCCCGTTCTGGAGTCTCTTCTAGAGGCACAGCTGATCTGGAAATGACAGCAACTCCTGTTTCTGCCCGCTACAAAGCTCATTTTGCAGCATGTGAGGACCAGAAGCCCTTTCCCTGTGTTTAATCTTGATAGGGAGCTATGCACCACAGAGCCTCTCACTCCCCCACAGTAGGAAGGGAAAAGAATCGGAAAGGCAAAAGTTAGAAAACTCATGGGTTGAGACAGAGACGGCTTAATAAGCAAAAACCAAAAATAAAACCAAGAAAAACAAGTAATGCAAAAGGAACAATTGCTCACCACCAGCCAACCAATGCCCAGCCAGTTCCTGAGCAACAGCAGCCCTGGGCAACTTCCCCCCGCCAGCTTTTTTTGCTGAGCACGACATCAGATGGTGTGGCACATCCCTTTGGCCAGTCTGGGTCAGCTGTCCCAGCTGTGCCCCGTCCCAGCTTCTTGTGCAGCCCCAGCCCACTGGCTGGTGGGGTGGGGTGAGAAGCAGAAAAGGCCTTGATGCTGTGTAAACGCTGCTCAGCAATAACTAAAGCATCCCTGTGTTATTCAACACTGTTTTCATCAGAAATCCAAAATACAGCCCCATGCAAACTACTATGAAGAAAATTAATTCTATTCCAGCCAAAATCAGTATACCCTCATACCAGATCTCAAGGTACATTCCTGTACCAAGCAGGAGCTCAGGCTAGGGAAAGCACATGAGCAGCCCATGGGACTTTTTTGACAGCTACAATATGAACCCCATCTTATCACTTGACTACAGCCCAAATTTGCTTCTTTGCCCTGTAAGAACCAAACTACCTGTAAAGCTGGTTACAATTTTTATCTCCTCATTTACTAGGTGCACAATGTCCTGCAGTGATTCACAACTAGCCCACAGGGCGCTCTAGTTCTGTCCTCTCTATACCCAGATGCTGTGGACGCACAGCACTGCCGCTGGAAGGACACAGGCCTGGTAGAGATGACTCCAGCATCAGGCCACCCCAGGAGAGAAACAGGAGGAGGTGAGGAGCACAGGTTTTGCTCACCTTGCTGCTTCTGTGCCTTCTTTTGGGAAGATGCTGCAAACGGGCATCAGTGTATCTGTATCATGTAGTCCAGGACAGATAGTGCCAAGACAAGAGACACGACTTCTCTTCTTGACTGTATCCTGCAGATGTAGTGGAGATGCTTGGTGCTACTCATGTGTTCAGGGAAAAGAACAGGCAGCTGCTGTCTCCTGAGCAGAGGGCGAATGAGGCTCAGACTGGGTCTAAACAGGGCCTGAGCACTCCTCCAGGAGCTCAGCACCACCACATGAGCTCCCCTAACTAGACTGACAGTGGAGCAAGCAGTCTTTCATCATGCTTCAACCTCATCACTTGAAAAAGCCTTCAGGTAGCTCTAGGAAAGCAGCTAGAATAATAAGAAGAACCCTGAAGAAGATTTTCCAAGGAGAAAGAGAAGGTGCATGCATGCACTACAGGAGCTGGGACATTGCCCTGTTTCTGTGAGATGCTTGCCCCTTCCTTTCACACCTCCTTCGGGACTGGATACACTCCAGATCAAAGCATATCACAGTCAGGGTAGAGAACAGCTAAGCTAACACAGCTAACAAAACAGCTAGTGCACATGGAGCCTTAAATGCTAAACCTCACATTTAACAATAAAAAAGACAACACAAGATCCAGGCAGCTCTGAGGCTTACACAACAGGAGAGCAGCAAACCATGCTTCTGCCAGCACAACATTTTCTAGTCTCTGTCAAACATGATAAACAACACAAGTAAACACACAGCTAAGTACTCTAATAGTAGGATATCTTAACAACTTAGCTCTCTTAGCAGAATTACACCCTACTAGTGAAATATAAATAAAACCAGTCTCATATTGAAATAGTATCCATTTTATCTGCCTACCGACGATGCATGTATGTTTGCCCCGTTCCCTTTTAAGCATTACAATAATCACTTAGAGCAGAAATGTGAAAATAATTACGCAACTATTATTTTAAAAAGGAAAATCTTATAAATAAATAGAACTATCTTCTAATATTTCTTTTAGACGCTTTCAGAAAAGCAAAGAACCCTGTCTCTGCTAGGGGCCTTTTATCACTGCAAACTGGGGCTCAGCTGCTCTCCCAAGCCTCTAAAAGACCAGAGGAGGCCATTATCTCTCATTTTGAGATAAGCTAGCAAGCAAGAAGGGTGCTAGGGGAAAAAAGGTAGTATTGTTGTATAGCTTTGCAAAACCATTTTTTATTTCTACTTCAAAAGGTTTAATTCAGTAGTAGTGTTTAGTGGGTATATAGTATTATTTTGCTGTTCTTAGTGTTTGTCATGATTCATCTATGACTGATGAGCTCTATTTCAAGTGGCTTTAGCACTGTTTTACCTATCCTAGAAGTACCTGTTGCGGACTCAGCTGCACTAGTGTAGCAGGTCAGGATTAACACGTAACATTTGTACTTGCCTGGATTGTTTGACTTGACACAGAATTTGGAGGAAGGAGAGTGAATTCAGGGCTGTCTTGCTCCTAATTTGTGCCTTAACCTCTAAGTTCTGGGTATTTACTCTTGTGTGTACAGCAGATGTAATTTCTGGAAGTAAGAGCAGCCTTACCTAAAACGTCACTGTAGTATTGATCCCAGCTTCCCCAGAGAAGGTAATGATATAAGATATCCTGCGCAGTGTAGAAGAAGATGTTTTTTAGCCTCTCCGGGAAGGACATCCTATCTGTTAGGCGGCTTAGGGTGGCTGGTACATAGGAAGGAGGTGCTGGGAGTGTCCCACAGAGCCGCTCTACCGTGTTGCCTATGGAGAACCGGATGGTGTACACGAAGGGGATACCCAGCTTCTCAGCAACCAGCTCCCCACTGGGTGACAGTGGGTCTGCCAAGAGGACATCGAAGGTGGATGCCCTCAGCCTTTCCAGCAGCACCTCGTTCTTCACGACTTCATCACAAATGATTTTGGTTATGTTTTCCAGCTTGTACAGCAGTTGAGATAGCTTGTAAAGACTTTCCCAGACAGGTAGCGCTCTCTCCTGGTAAAACCAAAAATGGAAACCTTCTTCCAGGAAGGCAGCCATCTCCTTTTTGGTGATTGGCACCTCAACCACCTCAAACTGGAAGAGTGAGGGCTGTGTGGGGTTGAGGATGAGGAAGCACGAAGGCAGCAGCACAGTCACCTCATGGCCCCGGACCACAAGCTCCTGGAGTATGTACTCCATGTTCAGCCAGTGACTGTTGTCAGCTGGCCAGACCAGCACCCTCCCCCCGGACCCCCAGCCCAGCACAGCCAGCAGCCACAGCACTGCCACCTCCTTCCCAGCCATAGCCTGCCCTGCGAGGCAATGCCCCCGTGGCCTTCCTTCACAGCGAGCAGCAGCGCTCCCAGGGGCTGGGCATGCATGACTGCCTTGCTCCGGAGGGCAGGGAGCCAAGGTAGCTGACGTGAAGTCCTGTCCTGAGTAATGGCATGTTTTCCTGGGGAAAAAGGTGGCTGGGACCAGCTGCACCATCTGGTGGTAAATAGCTTGCTGCAGCTGGAAGATGTGCTTCCTCTGGAGCAGCAGGGAGAGCTGTCAGCCCTGGGGGGCTCAGTCCAGCGAGGATTGTGTCCTGTTGGTCATCCTGGCCCTCCTGCCTGTCTCACTGCAGTCTCCATGTTATTTGTTTGGTAGAAGAGGTGACTTTTTCATTCTTCTGGCTCTCTGAAGCACAGCTGGGTGTGCAGCGAAGATGTTCACCCACTGCGTGGGCACCCTTTTGCTTTATAAAGCCACTGAGCATCTCTTTACAGTGCTTTAAGGTGGTGATCCAGGGCTGCAGCTAAAAAGTGGCATCTCGAAGTGGATGAAACTACACGCCAAGTGACTCCAGTATCAAAGACTGTCCTCATGTGAACTTGCCTTTTCCAGAGCATGCATCGTGGGAGGCCAGAGCTGGTAGGTGACGGTGTGGGCTGTCCTGCCTGCCATTAGGTGCCAATTATGCACTATAAGTTGAACCGGGAAATCTGTTGAACAGTTTTATTTACGGTCACCCTTCTGATGTGCAATTAAGAAATAATGTAAGTCCTCTTCACTGTGCTAAAAATCATCATTACTGGGCTTCTGCCCAGCTCTGTTATGCAATGTTTTCCTAATGTTGTTGTGCAAGACTTTGCTACGGCTTCCGTGCTGCCTGGAGCAGCCTTTCCAGGGTGAAAATGAGGGTGATGGAAGCAGCTGGGCTGTGAGAAACCAAGCTGAGATATCTCATCTACTCTGCACATGACAACAGTTGGGTGTACTTCTGGAGTCCTGCAGCATGCAGGTATGTGCAAGCAATCCAACTCTGAGAGATTTGCAAGTGCTCTTTTTCATGAGCTCAGTGTGAGGTTAGTAAAATGGCATGTTGATCACATGTGATTAATACTTAAATAAACATGTTTTTCTACTCAAAACAGCCCAGAAGCAAAGCCTGCAGAGAAAGACTTGTTGCTTTCACTGTTTGCTTGTGGGTGGAGGGTATGTTTTAAATAAAACTTGTGTTGTGCAGAGAGGATTGGTTTTATATGACCAGTGATGTAAGTGAAGTCTCTGTTACAAAGCAACAGTGCATTTCAGTATTGCTACTGAGGGTGGCAGGGCTGGCTCGTAATTCACCAGCTCCCCCCTCCTTATTACAATACTCTGGATTAGGAAAACAGCTCTGTTCCTGGCTGCTTTCTGTACAAGCAGTCATTGGAGGGGCAAATGTGTAAGCCGAGCTCCCTTGCTGAAGGCCCTATATGGTGTGGAAGTTGTTTCAACCTCCACATTAAAAATAATTATGGCAAAAGTCAAATCCATCAATTGGGATGACCACCGATGCCTGTCTCAATGCA